TATGAGTTCTCTGATGATTAATGAGCTGTGACTTCTGTGAGAAGGCTTTCACACATTCATTGCATTGATAAGGCTTCTCTCCGGAATGAATTCTCTGATGATTAACAAGCTGTGACTTCTGAGAGAAGGCCTTCCTACATTCACTGCAACCATAAGGTTTCTCACCTGTATGTGTCCTCTGATGTGGTATGAGGTGTGACTTCCGAGAGAAGGCTTTGCCACATTCACTGCATTCAAAGGGTTTCTCTCCTGTATGTATTCTCTGGTGATTAATGAGACTTGACTTCTCCCTGAAGGCTTTTCTACATTCACTGCATTCATAAGGTTTTTCTCCTGTATGAGTTCTCTGATGTCTAACAAGCTCTGACTTCTCAAAGAAAGCTTTTCTACAAAGACTGCATTCATAGGGTTTCTCTCCTGTGTGAATTCTCTGGTGTGTGTTTAGCTGTGACTTCTGGGAGAAGGCTTTTTCACAGTCCCTACATTCATAGGGTTTTTCTCCTGTATGAGTTCTTTGATGAGTTGCAAGACTTGACTTCTCACCAAAGGCTTTCCCACATTCAGTGCATTCGTAGGGTTTCTCTCCTGTATGTGTCCTCTGATGTGATATGAGATGTGACTTCTGACAAAAGGCTTTCCCACACTCACTGCATACATAGGGTTTTTCTCCTGTATGAATTCTCTGATGATTAGTCAGACTTAATTTTTCACTGAAAGCTTTCCCACATTCACTGCATTCATAGGGTTTTTCTCCCGTATGGGTTCTCTGATGTCTAACAAGCTGGGATTTCCTGCTGAAGGCTTTCCCACATTTACTGCAAACGAAGGGTTTTTCTCCTGTGTGTGTCATCTGATGTGATATGAGATGTGACTTCTGGGAGAAGGCCTTCCCGCACTGAATGCATCCATGAGGCTTCTCCCCTGTGTGGGTTCTCTGGTGATTAATGAGACTTGACCTCTCTCTAAATGCTTTCCTACATTCACTGCATTCATAGGGTTTCTCTCCAGTATGAATCGTCTGATGTCTAATGAGCTCTGACTTCTCAAAGAAGGCTTTTCTACAATCACTACATCCATAGGGCTTTGTTCCTGTGTGAGTTCTGTGATGTGTAACAAGTTGTGACTTCCTGCTGAAAGCTTTCCCACATTCCCTGCATTCAAAAGGCTTCTCTCCTGTATGAATTCTCTGATGATTAATGAGGTTTGACTTTTCACTAAAGGCCCTCCCACATTCGTTGCAGACATAGGGTTTTTCTCCTGTGTGTGTCCTCCAATGTGATATGAGATGTGACTTCCGGGAGAAGGCTTTCCCACATTCTCCACATTCATAGGGTTTCTCTCCCGTATGTGTTCTCTGATGGGATGTGAGCTGTGACTTTTGAGAGAAGGCTTTCCCACACTGGCTACAATTATAAGGTTTCTCTCCCGTATGAGTTCTGTGATGGGTAACAAACTGTGACTTCTGAGGAAAGGTTTTGCCACATTTACCACAGCCATAGGCTATTTCTCTTATATGTCTGCTTTGATGTTTAATGAGACTTAATTTCTTACTGAAGCGTTTCCTACATTTACTGCATTCATAGAGTTTCTCCCCTAAACGAGTTCTGTGATATATGACAATCTGTGACTTTTTATAGATGTCTTTATCATATTTATCACATTCATAGTATTCTAACCAAGTATCAGTTTTCTCAGGCTTGGAATGGAGAAACAATTTATCAAATACATTAAAGTCGTCTGATTCTGTTTTTCTACAATCTGCTTTTGGAATAAGCAAATCTAAATGATGTTTTAAAATCAAGCCATCTAAGTTATCTTCATTGTTTGAGTTCCTTAAAGGAACAAAGTTCATATTTAGATTGAATGTTTTTCCAAATGCATCACATTCAAGAATTCTTTTCATATTTTTAAGCTTGTCTTGGTTATCCCGGTGCCACATCACATGACCATCTAGTTGCCAGGCTTCTTCTATAAAGGAAACAAAAAATCTGGTGTGCTTACTAAATAAAAAACTAGAAATGCTGTGTTGAGGGTCTAACTGGTTTTTAAGGCTTAGTTTCATAGTCTGAAATATGTCACAAGCATAATGTCTATCTTCTAGGTATTGAAAAATGAAATGCTGAAAACAGGAGCAGGAAAACTGACTGTAGATTAAGCCACCTTTGGTTATTGACAAATATATGTTTATCAAATGGGAAGAGAATGTGAAAAGTACATGAAGAGCAATGAAGAACAAAGGAGGTTGGAAGAATCACTGACCCAATGTTCTGAAGAATTAATTCACTGATTAACTAATGAGTGTATTATATACTATGCTCCAGGCAGTGTGTGAGGTCTGGAGACACAAGAGAAAAAATAAATAGGGCCCTGCTGTTATGAAATTTACATTTTTAACAGAAAAGATAAAGAATAAACAGATAATATTAGTAAACAACAAAACTATACACTGTACTTAGTAAATACTATGAAGAAAATGAACAGTTTGGATAGACTAATTGGCTAAAATCACTTCAAGCTTGAAGTGTGTGAAATATTTTATGTATGTTTTCCCATTCTCACATTTTCTGAAAGTTTTATTTAAACTTGTCCTATACATGTCCACATTACTACCAGGCAAGCCACTTCATGCAGCACATTTTCAAAACATATCATCTTTCGTTTAAACTATTCAAGCACAGAACTTTAAAATCTATGTGTACTTTTACTTAAACTATCCTAAGACACAAGTTCCCATTATGAAAATATCCTGACAGTTTGATATTTATTACATGGCTTTACTTCCATTATCCTCACAACATAACCACTTATGTTATTGTTGTAAGTGCTCTTCGAAAGGCTTCTATTTCAGTAAAAACCTATGCTCGGAATTTTTTGTGAAGCCATACCTAGAGCTATGAAAGATAATCAGTAATAGGAAAATGTGTTACAAATTTAAATGTCAATTGAAGGCAATACATTTGCAGAAAACTCATAACTCATTGTTAGTCATAAATTATATTTTGAAGGTAGAATCAACAAGATTTGCTGATAAATTTGATGTGAAGGGGATAAGGGAAAACAAGGAATCAAGAGTGATTCTTTATGTTTGGGGTTTCAGCAATTTGGTGTCAATAGTGTTAAT